TGGGGATTCGAACCCGCCACCTTAGGTGTACGTGGCTGGCGCCTTAGCCGGTTGAGCTATAGGCGCTGAGCCATGTTTAGGTTTTTTTAATGGATATAAGTTTTCAACTCATTGGGTAAAAAGGAACTCCAATTTTTAATACTGAGCATCTCTCCCTCAGGAGAAGATATACCTCATTTTGTATGCAATGTATTTATCTTACGTGTTCTTACAACTTCTTCTGGCTTCATCATCCACTCAGTTCTCTTTACTTTGAATGGTTTTGTCCTTGCAAGCTGTCTTTCCTCAACTAGTAAGCATGTTTGTGACTTTCCTCCCTTGAATTGGCATGGTCATTAGCTAATATTCTTAATCTTTTTGGTCTTGTTTCCCAGTAACTCTACAAAGCACTGTACTCAGGCTCTTGCATCCATCACTAAGTGGAACTGCTCTTGCTACAGTTATCGATAACCACCAAGATACTCTTTAGTTCTTACATTAGCCAAGTATCGTTCTGTCCTTTGCTATCGCTGAACACTGTCCCCTTCCAAATGCTCTTCTTTTAGCTTCTGTATAGCTCTCTTTCCTGCCTTCTTATGTGTAATGCTGCTTTCCTCTTTTTCCAGGTGATGTGAAAACTTTGATGTTTTCAAGGGTTCCACCATCAATTGCCTTCATTTTGCTTGTGGACTGTGCAGCCCCTTTCCCATTACTTCAGCCCAATCTATGGGCAGAAATTCGCAGATTTTTATCTCTAGCCAAGATTTCTTCTGAGTAAAAGCCCAAATTTTCCATTATCTTGTTGAACATCTTTATCAAAGTATCTCAGACATCTCGACCTTAATATGTACAAAACTGGATAATTAAGAGATAGCAGGAAGTAGTTTAGGGTAATAGTACAACTTTTATGATGGTGGTCACATAATTTTATATGTTAATAGTAGGACTTAAATCAAAAAGAGTCAATTTTATGGTACATAAAATAAGCCCACTGGGTGCCGCCATGTCCAAAACAACAACAACAACAACAAATGAATGGTTAACCAACTTCTCTTTTCTCTGTATTCCTAGCACACACTATAGTTTGAGACTCGTAGGAATTCCTTATTACTCTAGTAGATGATTAAGACAAGCATATTTTCTGGCAACAGAAATTTTATACTTCAAGGGTCAGAGAAATGCTGGACATAACCAGGTTTTTAAAACATTAGAGAAAAAATGTCATTTTAGAGTGACAGTTTATAATTTAGTTAATGTTTTTAATACTTAACAATTTTATGTCATGTAAATGTAACAAAATTTATCTTAGGTAATTTTTTATTTGCCAATGGTTTATGTTCCAAAAGTTGCTATAAACTAATTCATACATTTGAAAATCAAAATATTTTCTCATTAAAGCAATAACCTAGATGATGAACAATAAACATCATTTTGTGGTCTGGATTAAATTGTGCTTAGGCTTGTATTTCCAGGTTCATTCTCCTGGCAGCCTCTATAATAACACTGACAACCATTCATGTTCAACAAATCAGAATTTTTTTTTTTTTTTTTTTGACAGAGCCTCAAGCTGTCCCCCTGGGTAGAGTGCTATGGCTTCACTGCTCACAGCAACCTCCAACTCCTGGGCTCAAAAGAGTCTCCTGCCTCAGCCTCCCAAGTAGCTGGGACCACAGGCGCCCGCCACAATGCCTGGCTATTTTTTGGTTGCAGCCATTATTGTTGTTTGGCGGATCCAGGCTGGATTTGAACCCGCTACCTTATGTGTATGTGGCTGGCGCCTTAGCCGCTTGAGCCACAGGCGCCAAGCCAACAAATCAGAATTTGGGAGAAATATCTTCAAACTCCATGTTTATTATTCAATTAACAATCACAACCATTTATTCTCAATTGCCTTTTGAAGTGAACACTTCTGGCTGTAGAAAGACATTGTTTAATTTCCTCACTATCTGCCACTGGGCTCTGAGATCCACCTACACAACCTCAAACAGATGGTTTTTCCCCTACTCCGTGGTTGGAACAATTGAAGAGCCTCCTAGTCTCTTTTTCTTCTCATCAATCCCTCTCCTATCTCTTTATACCTGTATGTATCTAAAACTGCATAGCTAGTAACCATGTGGCACAGAGTAAAGGAACAAACTAGCAGTGGGCCATTGCACATCAGATCTGTTGCATTCCTAAAAACTTTATACACAGATAGGGAAAACCTTCAGATTTGTGGATGCTAAAGATTGTATTATTTTCCTAGTGACAGA